TAGAAGAATGGAGTTTGATAACTAAACCCACATCCGGTATACCAGAATTCACGACCTGTTTTACAAGCAGCTGATAATACCAGCAGGTACTGGTGATAAGAAACCGGTGGAATTAATTCTACATCAGAGGAAAATGAATATTATTTATGACGTTATTGGTTAAAGTGCACCTGCATTTACGTCATAGATATAAATGAAGGAATTCAGGATGCAGTTAATACAAGATTACACAAGCGTTCCTTTGACGCTGAATAACAGATGATTCTTGGATGATATATATTCAAACTGTGAATTTCTCACTCAGCATTATAAAAACTCCATTGGGCCATTTTCAAGTTAAATGAGGTAGTATTGTTCGATGACAATAAATGGAATAAATGAAGTAAATGAAATAAATGTCACGATATCTTCTGACGATAATTATATACGGATATTTCTATTGTTTGGGAACATCGATTATATTAATACGAGAAAATTACAGATGCGTCTTTTGTTCAAATAACAGACATAAAACCGTTGTAAATAAATTGCAAGGATATCTTTAAATAGCTAACAAAATTATTACATAAGCTGTTACATGTTTATTTACAAATACGTTTAATGCGACGAACAGTTGCATAATCGAAGTTTTATTAAGGTTTGAGGTTTGTTTTTGTTTTTCTGATAAAAGATCACGTGTGTTAACTGGCTAAAAAAAAGCGATAATTCTGTTATCTGTAATTCTATTGTAATCTATACTCAAACATTTTTTTACCTTTAAATCAATTACTCATTATATATTTAAGTTGCAATTAATATAATTGCTTTTATTTCAAATAAATTGAAATTTTCTCCATTTTCAAATCACAGAGCCAAATCTGTATTATTTTCGATAGTTACTTCTTATTTTAATTTTAAATAAAATATACCCAGATTAGATTTAGAGGGAGTTAGGATGAGTAATTTTATTTGAATGTGTTTCGTGAAGAAATTGATCCTTGAAAATAAAGCTGACAATGTGAGATCATTGAAGTATATAAACATACGTGCTTTGATCTGTCGTCGTACATGTATGAGCTGGTGACTCCAATGACCCATATTTAGAGAAACTACACGGTTGAATTATAATTTTAAATTAAAGCTGCTCGACAATTCACTCGCAGAGCTCCTAAAAAGTGAGAGTAACCATTTTTGCAAAATATCCCGTTCAATTCAATACATATAGAGCTTACCTTGTAAAGGAACATATCTATTCTTAACCCACAACTGTGACTCACTTTCGTTTATTATTTCTCTGCCTCCGTATGTTCTACAAATGGCTCATAGTTGTTACTCAATTACACCTTCTTTCAGCAATTTAACACGTTATTTATGTCAGAATAAAGAAACAGAAGAAAAAAACTGAATCTAAATGTCACACTTTTAATTCATGACCGAGTTCTATTCTTTATTGATCGCTCTTTATATCGACCATTAAACATTATTTTCCGTCAGAACTTGTTATTATTCAAAAATGAATGTATATTTTAAGAAGAAAAAAAGCAGGTCATAATTTTGCTATAACTTTATGATAACAGAATAATTCAGGGATGTTTTTGGGATTGGCAGATAAAACAGTAGATCTCGCGTTAAAGCAAATATCGAATTTATTTGTCGATTTGCGTAGTCATAAAATATATCGATCGATATCAATAACACTGACAAATCTCCGTAGTGATCGCAGAATAATAACTGGGATGTGAAATCGGATGTAAATTCGTAATTCGTAGATACCTGAAGCGCGCGCAATATTGTATGCCTCGGTTGGAAAATAATTTTCCAAGAGAAAATAAATGCAAAACAGTTGTATACATTCTCGAATGAAATTGAAAAAAAAAAAGAAAAAGAAAAACCGTATACGATTATTTAACGTTCGTACAAAAAAATAGTCGATATTCACCGTTACATGGCTATCGTCATCCACCGAATCGAATCAATACCACAAGAAAAATAGAATGAAGAAGAAAGATAGGGGAGAGACGAGTGAAAGTATAGCAACGAAAGGGGGTTGAATAAATCGAGGAATGTTCTGAACATAGCACCACGTTAGATCCTTATTACTATTCACGTACAAGCTAAGAAACCGTATTCATTATGGCAGGTAATTGTACACACGCGTAACCCGTTCGTAAGGTGTCAACTGAAAGAGAATATAAACGTACCGAGGGTTTAGACGGTGATGTACATGTATCACCACCGTCGCGAACGAATTACCTCCGATTTCAATGCTTACGTACTAATTAAACGGTTCCGAAATGACCAATCGATTAACTGGAACCGGATACTGCGCTCTATGTAACGATGCACACGCGTGTATACGCGTTTACGGAAACGTCCTGCCGGTTGATCCGTAATGGCGCGTACACGCAAACTCGTCGTCTCTACATGGTAGGCGTAACGTAGCAAGTACGACGCCCGTTTGGCTGTTAACACATAATTGCGTAACGCACTATGGTTGAGCTACTGTCGGTCGTCCCTACGTTACGGAACCGACCACCCTAATGTGTGTAGGTGAATCGCGACCTAGAGAAAAAGGGTCGTCGGATACACCTGTATGTACACGTGTGTCGATGCACGCGGTCCGCGCTGGTTGCATAAGTGCAGGCGCAGGCCGGTTGCGCGCGCACGCGTGCACCAAACACGTGTACTGAGTACTGTTATTTTCTTTTTAATTCGAATTCGTTAAATACATCTATGAAGTTGCGGCACGAGGTGCTGCGTAAGCTCGGCTCTAGCAGCCGACCTGGTGTAGCATCGACGCGAGTCGGAACACCCGCATCCAGGCGAACATCCCCGTGGACGGTGAACGACAGACCGAGCTCCTCGTCGTCGAAACCGAGGAATTCTTGCAGTCCGTCGACGTCGAACGGCGACGCGTCGGTGTCGCGTCGATCGAGCATACGTCGCTCTCCGACTTCCTTTCCTTTTGTTGTTGCTGCTGCGGCGAGTACTTCATCACTGAATCATCGGAACAATTAATCAAGCTAGCTTTCCCTCGTTACTTTACCTCCTAATTTGATGCTACGATGACATAACGATGGGAATCCGCCGCGTTTTCATACTGACGTTCTATATACGTACGCGGAAGCATCGTCGATGATAGCGTTTCACTGTGTCGTGAAGGAAGAAAAAAATAATTGCGGATAGTAATTAACTTAATGTACCGTAGTTACTTTCCTTGCGCGCTTTATTACCTTTTTCGAGCTAATTGACTTATACTGTTTGTTTAATGCGGAAAAATTCTTTTTTTTTTTTTAGGAGAAAAGATAAATTAATATTGATATTGGCAGAAAATTCAGTTTGCGACTCGCTCGACTGAGAAGGGTTGATATCAGTATTTTTATTTTAAAAAATGAACTAGTTCATAACGATTTTACGATTACAGAAGGCAAGCTGGTGTAGTATGGTTAAGTAATGAGATTTTCCCGTATGTCACTGCACTACTTTTTTTCTCACGACTAACAACGAAACGCCTTTCACCGACAAATCCTCTTTTGTTTAAGAAAGCCGTTTTACGCAATGGAGAGAGTATCGTTGTAGTACGAACGACTATACACGCGTATGCGAAGACAAAAGCATCGCGAACTATCTGTTTCAAAGTAAAAGAAATAGCGTATATTTCGCAGCCACTGAAAACTGACAATTTCAAAATCAAACTGCTCTTTACGTAAATGTCATATCAATCTTGACTATGTTTGTCCACGCTAAACGCTCACTCGGTCATGGTCAAAGATTCGTTACGTGTGCATTGCAAAGTGCGCTGATATAACGGTTAAGCAACAGATGGGGCAAAATTAAATTTTAAAATCTTTCCTCGACAGATATGTTCAACTAACTAAAAAAAACTTTTAAATAAAATTGATTAAGTCATTAAATTTGAAAACAAAGTGTTATAATCATTCCTCATACGATTGCCTCAATTTTCAAATTAAGCTTTAAATAATATAATTTTTAAACGATAGAGTTTCGTATGTTGGAAGTATCATTTTTAAAGGAACAAAATAATATTTGGAAAATGAAAATAATAAGAAATACAAAATTGAATTAAAATTTGGACTCTCTTCATGGTCCGCCATCCGAGTATCAGTTACCAGTGACTGGCGTAGCAGTAAACGTGTTTTAAAAAAAGGAGTAAATAATACTTTGATAGTTATTTTTTAAATATATAAAGTGTCATATCAATCCGATACGCGTGGCCTACATTCCTAAATATAATACGTGTCCGCGCACGTGTGCGTAGGTGTAATCAGTGATCACTTAAGCGCGAAGTCTTTTTTTGTAGCCTTATCAATATCCGCGGTTCCGAGGACTCCCTTTTTCCGGAATTCGGCGAGTAGGTGTGTATAGTGGGCGTTTCAAATGTCTTCTGCTTTCAACGAAGCGCACGCGCCCCTTTCGGTCAGCTGATTCCCTAGACCTACTTTTTACCCGATGATGCAGGCTACAAATAGGTATAGATACGAACACGCGTGTACATATACACGTATGTGTCATGTAAGTACTTCTCGTGCTACCGTATACGCGTGTATACCTACATACTTTGGAAACACTCTGCGTCCTAAATCATGCTCTTTGCCCGAGGCCATCCTTACGCACTTGAGAGACTCGAGTGTAAAATGTAATGTTGCTCTAGTATCGCAAATTTTCTCGACAAAAGACACCACTGTCATTCAAAAAGTAAACCCCTAAGTGGTGTATAGAAAACAGGATCGATGAAAGAAACAAAATCTTCCTAATTCCATTCTCTAAATAAAAAAAACTTTTAATCACAGTTTTATTCAAAATTTAAAAACAATAGTCGTGAGAAAAATAAGCTATACGCGCACAAGGCGATTACGTTATAAAACACTCTAGGTTTTTATCGTGATACGAAAGCTTTATCAGAGATCTATAAAAATATGTATCATGATTTTTCTGTAATGCTGTATACATGCTTGGAAGAGTCCAAGCGAAGACCCATATTCGAGCAAGTTTCATTTTAGGCGCGCGTAATTATTTTGCACAATTTTTATTTTAAACTGACTCTATGACTCTTGCTAAAAAGCGCGGCACTTTGGACTGTCACTGTCATCAATGCTTGCCCTAACGATATACCGCGTTAAAGTGTTCCATGTAACCCGTGATGTATTTAAATGAAACAATGAACATTGTTCAATGAATGATCTGTTGACGTCTACGGTACGTACCTGTGTCAATTTTATTCAATTCCTAATTCCTCGCGAGGAGGCAATTACGAGACAACTTTACTTTGCTGCAAACCGATGTACACTGGTTCGAAGCGCTTCGTACAGTGTTCTGCGGAGCACGACGACGAGGTGCATTCGTGCGATAAGTGACAGACTAGAAGCGAGGCAGAAAGAGAACAAGGGATAGAGAAGTAGAGGAGGCTCTTTTCTTCTCGCTCTGTTTTGAACGCTGGATGGAGAAGTGGCTACACGTCGACGCGATCGTTTCGACGATGAAGAGAAAATGGTGGGGATGCTCGTCTTCGTGGTTCCGTCCTGTAGCGCCGGCGCTGCATCGACCCATTCGCGCTTCTCTACCGATGTGCGTTCGCTTGAATGTATCTTCAAAGTAGCTATTTATTTATCCGTTTTTACGCCTGATGTTCATATAGATTGCTTCATCTGATAACTCATCCAAGCTTGCTTGATTTTTATCCACCTTTCCAATACTAACCTTCTATGGAGACTATGCGCGTATATGAAACGGTATGTTCAGCTAGTAAGGCGCTTTTGACATGTGATTCTACTTTGAATATTTCTACTTTGCAAATTTTGTTTCGTTAATAGAAAATTACGTTTCAAAAGATATTACTAAAAAGGAGATCCTTAATTAACCTTAATTAATCAAGTCTTATTGTAATAATATACATATCAAGTATACTTTTGGATATTATCAAGAATTATACTATAAAATATAATATTTTAAATAATTAGTAGTTTTAATTGTACAATTAAATTTTTTAAAAACTCACTTTTCGCTGACGTACCATGTTGAAGAACAAGGACTTTGAGGGTTGAACGCGCTGCTTGGAGAATTCGTGGTACCTGTCATTGATTTTGAAGATGAGAATGAAACACCACTATCCGTTGAAGACGGTGTATGACACTCTTTATTAGATAAAGGTATCTGCCACGAATATCTAGACTTGGCACACGGACTATTGCCACCAGGACTTGTACTCTGGGAACTCGAAACGCTTAGCGGACTTTTCGGACTTTTCAAAGCTCCAGAACTAAAAACTCGGACTAATCGAAGTCTTAAAGAGTTCTCTTTATTTTTTATTGTGTTATTAGTATCACTTGATATTTCACGTTCTTCGGAAGGATCGGAGAAATTTTCCATGGTAATTTGAAATTTAAAATGATTAAACGAACGTAATACCGCGAACTACTGCATTCGACTGTAGGAACTTATTTCAGAAAAGTGTATAAAACTTAGAAAAAGGCGTTACTTCCTGGCAGTTCTTTAACCACATCCTTCCTTATTCTTATCACAATAATGTAAATACTAATCTGAACGTATACGGTTCTAAGAATGGATTAAAAAATTCAAATATCACAACCATATAATTTTCATTATTTAATTTATTTTACTTCCATCCATTATTCGAATAGAATTCATTTAAAGTTCTCAAAACTTTAACTATTGACACTATCTCCTCCTTTGTACATACAATTAATATGAACTAAATTGTTTAAGCATTTCAGTGTTTCAATGTTACCCAAATTTAAATTTAATTTTCAGTGGGATGTATCGCATTATTGCTTTTTGTACTTTGTTGCTTAATTTTTTACATGCTTGTCTTTTTTTTTAACATAGAAGAAAATGAGTATTACAAATTCCTCGCCGAATCTGTATTTTTTTTTTACATTCTTGCATTACAATTTAAATAGTTTGTAGTACAAGTTGAACAGCATATAATCACAAATAAATAATAGTGCATGGTCTACTTGTGGCGCAGCCACTGCGAGAGAGCACCGCAATATCTTTAATAATGAAGTAGGGTCAGTTTCTAGCCGGTTCTAGTCTGACTCTTGTCACTGTACATAGTTACACGATATACCTACTTATAATTAACAACAACAATTTTCCACTATTCAGACTTTGCAAACACTTGAGTACCAAATGGGGGAGAATTAATGAATGAGTCGAATGAGATTTAACCGGATGTTCATGAGGTTTGAAATGATAATAGTACTAGTTTCCTCTACAACATCCGCCCAACACGTCTAGCGTGTCTGATCATCTTCGACGAGTGTTAAGTTTACTTTGAAGCTTGCTCAATATACGCAATAAGATCAGCTCGTTCTTGTGGTTTCTTCAGACCGGCAAACACCATTTTTGTACCAGGAATGTACTTCTTTGGGTTTTCAAGATATTCGAATAACGTGTCCTTGTTCCAAGTGATGCCTAAAATGGTAAATATATAGTATTAATTTTGAAAATAAATGTTAATACAGCTGTTTTATTAGAAAAAGAAAGAAAGTACCTTTTGCTTTGTTGGCATCCGTGTAAGAGTAACCGGGAGCCTGCCCAGTTTTCCTACCCACTATTCCATGTAAATTGGGTCCTACCTTGTGTTTACCACCAGCTTCAATGGTATGACATTGTGAGCATCTTTGTACAAAAAGCTAACAAAAAAAATTACATTTAAGATACAAATATTTAATAGAAGTTTAAAACAAGCTTTGTGTAATTTTTATTTTTGTTATCTAATCTAAAATTCATTACTTTAAACCAATAATTGAAATCAAACGATAAATTGACACTATCTCAACGATATGAATCATGTCGGCTTATCGCGTATAGACGTAATCTATACGTCATTGAATAAAAATTTCGCGCGCATTTACAGATACCAATTTTAAATATCGAACATTTTCAACTTAATTAAAACTTGATGAAAAAATAATATATTAAAATATTATATTTTTAATTTACATACCTTCTTTCCCTTCTCCGGATCACCAGCGGGAACTCCCATTATTCCTTATTCTATAAAAACATTGTTTAAAACATAAATTTGTATTCCATAAAAAATACATGTTCAAAAATATCTACTAACTATTATTTGTAGAAGGAAATTAACAATTCTAGCTTATACATCATTCGTTACGTAAGTACGAAGCACGTGAACAAAAGTCTTACGTTTCGTAATTTCATTGCACAAGAAATTTGCTTATATGCACGTGTGACAAATACATTTGTCAAATTAAAAAAAAAATAAAATTTTATATATTGAAAAAAGGATGCGTCAATAATTGTGATACTTTGGATTTTACACTCTGCACGTGTCAAATTATGAATAACGTACGAAGCGATAAAACGGTCAAATAATTAATAATTGGTATTTGATCAATGAAAGAATATAATTAATGATTGTGGAAGGATCTAATCATATTTTCATTTCTATTTTTACATAAAACACAAAAGCATTTAGTTTCAAAAGTGTCACTGTGACATTGAAGCAACAATTATTTGTTCATTGCTCTAATAAATTAACATAACGAAAATTAGTAATGCAATATTAATTTCAGTTTAACCTAATCCGGAAAAAATGGTAAATTTATAAATCGATGTTTCCGTTTAGAATTCCTTTTTCGCGGTGCTGATACATGCATATTTTCAGTGCAAGCAAAAAATGGTTACTGAATCTAAATTTCATAGAGGAATATATGAGATAAAAAAAGGTGATTTTCTTTCATTAAACTTTCTTGAATTGCACAGAGTTGTGCAATATGTTGCAATAAATTAAAAAATTAAAAAAATGGCAAAGGACCATAAGGAAAGATAATACCATAAGAAAGTGACCTTTGCATTTAACTGTATATATAAGTAATTTCTCGTAGAATTAATTAACACCACTTTTTCACACGCGTGCTAAGATAATTTGAATTTGAAATAAATAAGAAAGCGAATTTTAGACAAAAATTTAGATATTTTTATTAATGAAAATGTAATAATAGAGCACTAGCTCAAGGATAGTTGCATTATGTAACACTGAACATCTTATAATAGTATTTTATTAAGCAACTAAAAGATTTAATGGAAGTAAGATCAAAAAAGATTTATCCCGTTAGCTATGGGTTCCCAATGTTCGTCACTCAATTGCACGTGCTATAAACGCCATGCACACTAAATTGCTAAATTACACAGTTTTAAATGCTTATATAGTGCTTAAAATTTTCATAAAAAATATATTGATTCAATAAAAAACACGAACACATTAATCAATAATTCAAACAATTAAAAAAAAAGAAGAAAATCAAACTTACTTTAACTTAACTCGCGCGAGTAAGAATATTACAGACGACGGTAGCCTGACCGTGAATACAAGTCTCGATCGATGAGTAACTACTGACTTCCTCTGAGGTTGATTTCAGGGTATTTTAATGGCTGACGCAACAATTCATAAAACTAGGAAACGTACGTCCAGAGGGCGTACTAGTAGATCTACTATTAAAATTCTTTTTCATGATTGGTAAAATAGTTCCCGCGAAATTCAAGTTTAACTAAAAATCAACTATTTACTTTGTAATTTAATAAGTTATAATGAGTAATTAATTCTGAACAGGTAGTCCGAATTTAATATACGTAACAAGGAATCGAAACCAACTTATGTTAAGTATATACAATTATAACTTCATTCCGTAATGCAAATTGATTCGAATAGAATTTTATTTTTGCCTACTTATAATTTACTTTAATTCTCTTTATTTTTTTCCATGTTTAAATAATGTTAAAATTCATTATTATAAATAATAATTGAAGTCAAAATTACGCTACTAGCGTCCCTGTCGTCAAGTACTGTATATTATGCTGAATTGGCAGAGAAGTAAATTCTAGTGACTTTCGTATCTAGAAATTTGAAGGACAAATAGAGTTCATGATATTGTGTGTATGTATATAGCAAATTAAGCAGCCATTCTAAAACATTCTGGCCTGTTCTGAATGTAAAAGCAGTGACTACAGATGTAGAAGACTGGACATGCCTTTGTTTGGTAATTTAAAGTGTCCTAGACACCACCTGATGAGATTTTGTCGGTGAGCAGAGAAAGTCACAGGGGTCTCTGACACCCCATGATGATATTTTGTTGTTGCGCAGAGAGGCACCGGGGTTCCTGACACCCCTGCACCTATGTATGTATGTACATGAAGCTAGCCGGAAGGAATAATAAAATATGATTATTTTTAATTTTTCTTAATGTACTTCGTTTGTAAATCGTTTGTGATTGATTGTGAGTCTATTTTTAACGTTTATGACAAATTAGTTCTTTTGTAATTAGCAATTTTATTTCAATCATGATGTGAGCTGAAACTTTTTAGTAATTTTTTATAATAAACAGATTTTGTGATAACTGATAACTGTAATTGATTGGAAATCGTTTGTGATTTACAAATATATCATTTTCATTGTTTGTGAGTGAATATTTGCTTAATTATTTACAAGTTTGTCTTATAATAAATAATTGTAGTGTGCATGTGCTACAGATCTGGTCGTACTCATCACTACCTCGAACAAGTGAGATTCACGATTTGTTCGTTTTTAGGTCTTATATTTCGCTAGATCCGGTCGTACCTATCACTATCCCGAACAAGTGAGTTTCACGATATGTTCGTTTTTAGGTCTTATATTTCGCTAGATCCGGTCGTACCCATCACTATCCCGAACAAGTGAGTTACACGATTTGTTCGTTTTTAGGTCTTATATTTCGCTATTTGCTTCGGGGTCCCTGATACCCCGGTGGCATAATATTGGTATGCAGTGTTACTGGTACCACGAGGTCTCAGATACCCCGAATGCCGTAGTGTCGGTAAGCAAAGCGTGTCATCGGTGCTTCGGGGTCCCTGACACTCCGCATGCCAGAATGTCGGTATGCAGCGTTACTGGTACCACGGGGTCTCAGATACCCCGAATGCCGTAGTGTCGGTAAGCAAAGCGTGTCATCGGTGCTTCGGGGTCCCTGACACTCCGCATGCCAAAATGTCAGTATGCAAACGGTGTCACCTGCGATGCGGGGTCCTTAATACCCCAATATGATATCAGGTCGGTACGCAGAGTGTGTCATTGGCGCAGGGGGGTTCCTAACACCCCTGGATATTACCAGGTCCGTATGAAGAGGGCACAACCAGTATAATTTTTTTCCATAGTTTATTGAATTAATTTCATTTTTTTTTTTTTTTGCTTGTTAAATAAGCTCATCGAAGGGGAATAACATTTATGATTATATCCCTCTTCTGGGTCTCAGCCAAGGACCTCATTTATTTTACTTTTTTCAGTTATTTATATAATTTTATCGGCCAAGACCAAGACTTACATCCCTTGTTCCGTTACATCTCTGCATCCCTTACATCCCTGCATTCTTTTCATCACAACATTCCTTTCATCCCTATATTCTTTCTATATTCTTACATCTCTTCATCCCTTAAATCCCTACATTCTTATCATCCCTTAAATCCCTACATTCTTATCATCCCTTAAATCCCTACATTATTACCATCCCTACATTCCTTACATCTCTTCATCCCTTACATCCTTACATTCTTTTCATCACTACATTCCTTACATTCTTTTCATCACTACATTCCTTACATCCCTACGACCCTTACATCTCTTCATCCCTTAAATGCCTACATTCTTATCATCCCTACATTCTTTTCATCCCTACATTCCTTTCATCTCCACAATGTTTCCATCCCTACATTCCTTACATCGCGCCATCCCTTACATCCCTTATAATAAATATATTATAAAGGCTGCTTCGAGTAAAGGTACGTAAAGGTAAGTTAGTTCCTTTTTTCGAAAATTTCGAAAAAAACAGCGACCCTAGCGACAAAAATTTGAACTAAAATTTCGATGTCGAATCAGCGCCCTCTGGCGGCGAAAAAGGGAACTAAATCTGGCTCGATTTCTGGCCCTCTGACGGCAAAAATGTGAAGTAAAATTTCGATGCCGAACCAGCGCCCTCTGGTGGCGGAAAAAGGAACTAAATTTGCATCAAATCTCAGGTCTTATAGCCGCAAAAATTTCTACTCAATTTCAGGGAGGTACTGGGATGTATGGAATGCAGGAATATAAGTGATACAAGGATGTAAAGGATACAGGCATGTAAGGGATGTTGGTATATAAAGAGGGCAGGAATGTGAGGAATGCAGAGATATAAGGGATATAGAGATGTGAGGAATGCTGGGATGTAAGGGAAGCAGAGATATAAGGGATGAAGAGATGTAAGGAATGTAGGGATGAAAAGAATGCAGAGATGTTAGGAATACTGAGATGTAAGGGTTGCTGGGATGTAAGGAATGCAGTGATATAAGGGTGCAGAGATATAGTGGAATCAGAGATATAAAGGGTGCAGACGGAAGTAATAAAATCAACACGTTCGTCCTCCTAAGGAGTTTATTCAATAAGCTAAGAAGATAATTACAGCAAATTAAATGAACGCAGAAATTAAAATAAGGGTATATGTATTCCGCCGCTTTTGTATAGATGGTGCAGCGGTCGAACTTTAACTAGGATAAAGCAGATGGCGCTTGTTCTCAAGGCACAAATTCACGACCCTTTGAGAACAAAGACATATCCAGTCTGATCCAGTCTTTTATGGTCTTCTACTATCTGTAGTCACTGATAAAAGTGCGTATGAAGAGTTAATTGACTTTATTTCACTGAAAGTGAAAATAATAAAGTCATGGTAAATGTTACAAAAGGAATTTTGGTTGAATGGTTTGTATATTTAATGTCAATTAAAATAAGTTACAACCATTCTCTATTCTTTGTAATCTAAATCGTTCGGAATATTGAATTGTTTATTAAGAAGTTCTTCAGATATATCAAACTTTCTTTTACACCAACTTTGTATAGCAAAAATATTATCCGTCCATACATTAGCCGCATCCTTATATTCCTAAAAAAATAATATTTGTAAATAATAAACTTAAATTACGAGTTTTTACTAACCTCATACCTGTGCTTTTTCTACAAGTTTAGCTATAGCTTCTGGATCAGCATCACTGAATTTAGCAATTTGCTTCTTTAATTGAACTTCCTTGGCCTTTAATTCTTCTAGTTCGTGCAATAAAATTTGCCTCTCCTCTGTGTCCTCTTTTCCTATCTGTGTGTTTTGAAAAGATTATAACCTTCAAATAAAATTCTTTGTTAATTAACTGCATACTATTGTTTTTTATTACCTGTTCTTTGACACAAGCTTCTTTTAATTTTTGGAGCTTAAATTCTGCTTCTACTATTTTTTTGGAAGCCTCAGATATTCTTTGTTCTATCGCGGTAATATTTTCTCTATATAATTATTTATTTATTAGTTTTGGTATATCATATGTACAACTATATATTTTTGACTAAAAATTTTTACCCTGGAAAGGTCCAGAAGTATACTGTAGTACCAATTTTTTCTGATCTAACTAATCCATCATCAACTAATGTTTGAAGTACATCTTTCACAGATTGTACTATAATCCCTTTTTCTTTTGGAGCAATTTTTTCTAATTCTTTTAAAGTATAAAATTCTTTTTTCTCATAAAATATTTGAAGCATTCTTGCACGTTTTTCATCCAAAGAAATTCCTTTTCTTTTTGACATTTTAAGAAAACTGCTGTAACAAAATAATAAATTTATGATTACAGTGATGCAGCTATGAAGCAGTTCCTTCTACACCTGGATGAGACTTTTGCCTTAGGACGAAAATTTATTATTCAAGACCTAGATGAAAGACATTTGTTCATCTCTGTTGATATTTTAGATACATTACAAGCAAAAGTAGATGATCTTATGGATCAAATATCATTCCCTCTAGCAGATAAAGGAATATAAATAATTGTTAAGAAGAGATTTGTATTTCTATTTCATTGTGGAAACATTTTAAAAAGTCTAATTTATTAAAAGATAAGTAAAAATGGCTGCCCGAGAATCTGGTAGAATAAAAGATGCATATCAGAAAAGAATGCTCGATGAAGCTGCTCGTAAACGTAGACAAAAGAAAGCATTGGAAGCTCTGGAACAGGATAATTTTCATGATGACCCCCATGCAGATTTAGGTATGTATAATATGAAGATTTGAAATGTATTAAAAGTGTTTGTATAATAACATAATTGTTTCAGTAATGAGTAAAAAGGTTCCAAAGTTTCAAGAAACCTTAGATAACAGAGGTGGCAGAAGGAAAAAGACTAGATCAGCAGAATATTACAAACAACGTTTTCGTAAAACATTTGCTCAGTTAGTAGAAGAAGATCTAAATATTAATCCAAATCCTCCTAATTATGCATCTGCACAAGCACCCCCATCTCGTTTTCCTGAAAGACAGTTTTGTGCAGTTTGTGGTTTCCCTAGTAATTATACATGCATTCCATGTGGTGCTAGATATTGCAGCATGAAATGTTTAGGTACTCATCTTGACACAAGATGTTTAAAATGGACAGCTTAATTAATAATTGTTATCATAGTTATAAGCTTAATTATATTACACAAAGAAAATATTCAAAATTTGATTTTTCATGTGAACAGTTGTAAAAAATACATCATCTTCATTGTAAATAAATACATTACTATCAGTATATAGAGAAATAAATAAACTTACTTACTTTTATACTATCATATGGTATTTCTTTTCTTTGTATTCAATCTTCTAATAACCTTTACTAAATCAATAGAAGCACCCTATAATATCTCGTTTCTCTAAATTCATTAATACTTATTGCAAAGTGTAAGTATGAGAAAATAAAGAAAAATTTTTTGTGTTAAAAAATGTAGTTGTCAAATGTTTTGAAACGTACCTGTTATATCGTAAATCCTAATTATAAAAAAATGATATATATTTCAAATAACATCAATCAACAGTAAATAATTCGTATTATTTTATTCGTCGCGTTAAGTTAACAGTTTACAGTATGACGTATATTTGCGATCACAAAATTATTGTGATTACTCCAATATCATTGAGGAAACATTGACTTCCGGTCAAGATATTTAGGTTACGATATGTTATAAGCAATAAGGAAACAAAAAAAACTTAAAGAAACTTTCTGTCAAACCGTGCAATTTTTGGCTAATGAACCAAAGAATGCCGAATCGTAGAACAAGGCGGGAATGATTTTCATCTCTCAAAACAATAGCCCTCTAGTGGTGCATAGAAGAATCATTACACACTGTGACGAAAAAGACAGCGATAGAAAAAGGTAGAAAGACGTCTAATAGAGATATAAGTACATTTGTAATAATGTGAAATTTAAAATCGTGAATCTAATCCTTTTCCGCCTAATCTAAGGACGGATTTGAACGAAATTATTCACGTGAAAGTGATACATTTTTGAGCATACTGTATTGTGTTGTTGTGGATTTGGTTACCGTTTAGGTTATAATAATATAGGCATGTCATAGATGTAACAATTGTAAAAGAAGAGTGGCTAATAAATTATTCTTCTGTTATTTCCAATAAATGTACGTATACCTCGTATGAGTTGTATTTTATGATTCTTTCGTTTGTTCAAAATGTAGATTCCTGAAAAAAACGATTATTCTCGTATTAATTAACGTTGTATACGCTTTATTATTTTGTAAATGAAATTAATTAGAATAGAAAATTGTTTGAGCTTTAATCATTCAAATACTGTTGTTACCATTGCATATTTAAAAGAGCAACAAATATCACGATTTGTTGGTAAATGCGCGAATTTGGCACATCTTTCGCAAACCTGTTCTGCTCTCTAGCGGGATAAACGAGTATCTCGATAGGATGTTTCAAAAGTGCCGCGGGAAATGTTTGATTTATTTTACTTTTCGATCATTTCAAAGTGCAGCGATAGATTTTTAGCAATATCATTCATTGTGATGTGAGTTTACCTGTGGTACGATCAGTACAAAAGTTAACGATCGCTGATCTACGAGTGAAAAGGAATAATCAAAGGTAACGCTCATTTTAAAATTGAAACAATCCAAATAGTAATAATAAATTTTTAACGAAGATCCGGAAGTGCAGATCTTCCAAAGATTTCAAGGTCAATTTTCTTTTTTTAAATGAAACTAAAAAAATATTAAGACATTGCCAATTTGAAAAATTGTTTTTCTGAATTTTGTGCTTCTTTTGACGTCAATCACTGCATCTTGGTATTTTCTATTAAAAATTATCCAGGTAAATTGATTAGGTCGAAAAATATCGTAGAGAAAGATAAGGAGAACCTGGTGGTCTCTCCTTAAGATATCTTTCGAATTAATGATTTTTCGACTCGAGTACCTTAATACTTTTTTGCGAGGAATAAAAATACGCTTCGATTGACATATAGAAAAGAATATAGTTCCATTTAAAAAAGTGACGATGACATTAGAATCCTTGGAACGCCTGCACTTCCGGAAGCGACGAATACATCAAGCTCCTTCACGCCATTTAATTTTGCATGATATCTTTCACCATTTTCTAGCATCTTAGACCTATAGCTTAGTCCACTCTCATAGGACACCCTGTATAATTGCATTTAAAAAAGCGAACTTGACTTCTGTATGTTCTAATGTAATAATATTAAATAAAAAAAAAAAGAACATTTATTTCTATTAATAAATTTCCCTCTTCGTATCGTACAATTTGCGTATGAACAATAGTTTTCTATTCTCAGAGTTTAAAAAATGATGGTAAAAAATTAACCTGGACACCTTGAACGTACAATTTGCATATGAACAATATTTTTCTATTCTCAGTGTTTAAAAAATTATGGTAAAAAATTAACCTGGACACCCTGAACGTACAAGTAGGCAATAAGATGTCCAATTCATTGAGTTTCCTCATTAACTGAATTTTGTCTTTACAGGCAGAACAAAACGGCCGAAAATAAATCAAATAATCTTCCATGTTTAATCGGTGGTGGGAAAGGTGGATTTTATAGCGAAGATAAGATCTTTGCGAATCGTGCAACGCTCATTAATTACTGAAGTAATTAACGCGTACCGCTCAGTACAGCAACAATGACGACCGTAGAATCTCAGACTGATAAAACTTTAAGTCATCTCGATAAGCCTTCGAATACGGAGGTAGCTGAAATTCCGTCCGATCGTGGACTTCCTGTTGGAATAAGTCCATTGGAATCCCGGGTGTCCGGACATCCGTTCGACGATGAACGACAGATGATTGGTAAGCGTCCAATGAAATCAAGTATTGAAATAGTTATAGAAAAACATCACCGTAGTCAATAATTTCATCGAAAATATAGATACATATACGATTTTTTTTTTTATATGTATAATAAAATTCGATTAACACCTATTGTTAACCGTTTCAAATCAGATGATTTTTTAAATCATCATTTAGTTACAATTAGAAACTAAAATCGAATTTACTTTCGTTGTGCACACGTGAGTACAACACAGGAACTGATTTATGAATAGTAAACGTAGTTCAAACATACAAATTAGTTAAACATTGTCGGTTATAGTAGTATATTTTGCTATAAATTTTCGATAAAGCATTGTTGCATTTATGTTTACGTAACAGTTTCCTGTAACTATTGGTCAAAGGTCAAATTAGCTTAATTCATTTATTAGATTGTTGCATATTAATTTCAGGATTTCGAAACATAGAAAGTCGAGAATGACTTGATGACGTATAAAAGTGTTGCACAATAGTATTTATGGCATATCAATTTAAAGTTTCAAATGTTATAAAATTTACTATGTATTTAAATATTTTATTAATATTCTTAATTTAGAATAGCTGGTTCTATGTTGAAACAAACGATGGATCAATCAATTTACAGCTTAGCAGTGTCGATTAATGAATATCTAATTGATAAAGAAATTATTGATTTGTTTTACCCTGAAAAATCTACAAATCGTTTTTCATAATATTCTCACACATCTCGAAATTGAATATTTGCTAATGGATTATAATAACGATAAGCTATGAATTGATTGATCCATTGTTTGTTTCAACAAAGAACCATCCATTTTATATTAAAATTATTGACAAAACCTTTATCCGATCATTTTTACGAAACATTAAGCTTTAAATTGATAAATTATAGGTACAGTTTTGTGATACTTTTATATCTCATCAAATCGAGTGCGTATGTTTCTAAATTCATTATTTAAAATATTCAATATTGTAAAAAATTGATTGTTTAAAATATTGCAGGTATGTTACGAAGGTCGGATGGCCGTGTATTTAAACCCGTCGTGAAGCCGATGCTTGGTAAAAGAGAAATTGCATTCTATGAAAATTTACAAGTGTCCCAAGATCCTATGCTGCTACAATTAAGAAACTACGTTCCAAGATATTACGGCACGACAGATTTCCAAGTTTTTGGCAGACGTAAGAACATTAAAGTTTTACCACGTTTCTAATAAAAACTGTATCTGAATTCGAGAGTCAGAATGTATAAAGTCCATTTTATTGAAAAATGATTTTTTCGAAAATACATTCCGGTGCTGGGGTCCAGATATATCTTATCTTGAAATTATTGCCTTTGTTAGTCATTCATAAATACCTAATGATTAATTTTTCTTTTCAATTTTAGGAATAACATTCCTTACCCTGAAAGACATTACCGATGGTATGGCAGAACCGTGCGTGATGGACATAAAGATAGGGAAACGAACGTGGGATCCTTTAGCCAGTTCCGAGAAGAAGGCAAAGGAAGAATTGAAGTACGCCGAGTCAAAACGCACTTACGGTTTCTGTATAACTGGCTTTCAAGTATACTGCACCTCTTCCGGCCAGTTAAGAAAGTTTGGCAAACATTATGGCAAGACACTCGATGCGAAAGGTGTCGTGGAAGGTATATTATCAACTTCATTCATTTTCTAAATCACATTATCGCACAAAGCAGACACACTATCGTTCATGAATACATTTTTGATGTTCCGTTGACCGTATATGTAATTGTTATAATTAAAAATGTCACAGTTGGATCGTACGTAACGCTGGAAGAACTTCCAAGAACACATTAAAAATATATATATATATATGTATATCTGTATTTCTTCTCTTTTCTTGATTTCTCTTCAAATACTGCAAATAGTGCCTTTTCTTTCCTGCGCAGCGCTGAAAATCTTCCTGAATATAAGTCCAGAAAGACCGCCCTGTCGTCAATTGATTGTGAAGCTTCTCTCTTTCTTGTGGAAGATCTTACTGTTCTTTCGTACGCAGCGGTTGTTCCGCTTTTATTCTAGTTCCCTGTTGGTGGCATACGACGCGAAAAGGCTGCGCCATTATCACCGTCTGGGTAACAAGGATACCGGATGCCTACCGAAAACGTTCACTTCGTCGAACAGTCACGCGTCCAAATCGAGCGTGTTCAACGCGGCCGGCAAATCGATCGCGAACAGCGTCGAAACGAGCAGAAATCGAACGATGGAGAGGGTGCATTTTATTAAAAGAAGCATCAGCTTGAGCAGCGAGTACGACAAGATTGAAAAGGAGAGAACGTTGAACAGAAGCGGATCCTGTAGTCCGGACTTCAGGGTAAGCCGACTATGTCGCACCCATTCTTACGTGAACAACTTCGACGATGACATCGTTAAAATGAAAGAGGATTACGATGACCTGTTAAACGAACTGACCAGTTCTTCGGAAGAGAAACAGAATTGGGTACGGATAAATATGATCGATTTCACGCACGTCTTCCCAGCGGAGGATCCAACTGCTTTGGATATGAATTATTTGGAGGGGATCGAGAATTTGATCAAACTCGTGGAGATGTTCCTGGTGTCAAAGGATCAAGCTGCATGAACCGTGTCGATAACGTAGAACGCCTTTATTATACGTTTCGATGCAATCGTACTTTTATATTCTTTAAACGATGTTAGAATATGTTTTCGACATTAGGGCCAGCGAGAACTTGCAAGCTGGAGAATCGTACTTTTGTGATTCAATGCACGATAGAAACGTTTCGTGAAAGCTTTCTACACGTAGCATGTAATGCGAACAATGAAGTACTTATCGTTGTCTCAGAGCCTTCACGAAATGTTTCTGATATTTGTAGTTGGCACAATAAATCAGAAGCACTGAAAAATCAAACGTTTAATTGTATCGCACCAGATGTAATCATTTGTAACGATCATTTTTTGTTTTTTTTTTTTTTTTATTTTCGTTGCACCTCGTTTGTCGCTTTCCATAGTGACGAAAAATCTTACTCGTTTGTTTTATTATACATATGTACATTTACAAACACCGACAACGTATGTATTCGTTTCTCGCACGATTGTAGTAGTCATCTGTTACTCCTGTCATTTACTTTCTTACGCTGTTCCTGTGCAGAGGAGATTCTATAATTATACCTACTAATTACGGAAATTGTTATGTTGATATGGTACAAAAAAAAAAAAATAAAACAGTTAACGCAAAGGTGGACGAGTTTATTGTTATTGCTTTAAATTAATTATGGACACATGCATTAGGGTAACTGAGTCTGTCCCCTCCCTATGATAAGGCACCCCCTTATTATTTTAAGAAAGATTCTAAAATTTAAAAATTCTAAATTTCTAAAATTCTGAAATTTTGTAGACTTGGACCACCCCAGAAAAATTAACACTTTTAGTAAAGCTGGAGGACATAATTATATCAGTGACTCATCACTAAAAATTTAAAGAATTTCTTCTAATTTTAATATGGTACCCGGCTACAATTTTTTTTTTATATTTAATTTACTTAAAATGCCAAAAAGCGAAGCTGCCTTCTTAGTCCTGCAACCCCTTTTATTGGGGAATATAAAGAAACATAGCAAAGTCATTTTCGATGTGACATTCTTTATGGTACGCTGTTTCCACGGTCTTCTGACCCTGCAAATTACGACTGTAACAAAACGCTCAGAGAATTGTAGAGCCGATAAATTCGTGATGATTATTAGCGGCCGAACAGAGAAAGCCTTCGAGGGTATATCGGTACCTAACGCAATTACCGCGTAGCACGATTAATGGCGAGCGGTTCTGCTAATCAACCCGCAAACGCGATTACCAGGGCTCAAATTGAATTACGCGTTCTGAATAGCGCGAAAGTCTCTGATATCGAATGCGTGACAGAAACGATCACAGGGTAGAGACATTCGTTTCGGTCACGTCAAATCGTGTGACACTGGGCGAGGGGGAAATTGACTTTGATATAACAATAGTCAGAATACTAACAGTAGCGATGGTAGATAATAATAGTAGATATCTTATTTGATAAATTAAATGTTTTTCATATTTTTGGTGAGTGAATGAAGCAACGTGAAGTCTTGTAATTAAATTTTTACAGGAATAAAATTAAATATCTACAGTAATATTTTATAAATTTTGCACCGCCTGGTTAATAAATTTGAATTCACTGGATAGCCGGTAAAACATTCGACGTGTTAATAACGAATAATTTGATACGGGTACCATTTCACTCACTTCGCGTTTCGTTCGATATTTTCATTAAATGAAAATAGAGGTAGAGGAAGTACGAAGCTGTCGTTTGATTTTGTTTTCGTGAAAATTTCGGGCGATAGCAATCGCGTGTATGCACCGTGATAAAGATTAGTCTGGTAACGAGTTTTACCCGGTTCGCCGCGATGGAGTCGGTGCGATAAATTTAGTACTCCGATTGCGGAAATAGAAGAATAGAGAACGCGTGGCTGCTATTTAAATTCCGCGGTTGTTAACCGCACGAGAACGCGAACTCCTTTCCTCTCGGGTTCATTCCATCGGGATAACCCGGCTAAAAAGTTTTCAACTTGCCGTCTCGAAATCGAGCCTCGTTACGTGCCACACGTTTTGCATTTTTCATGGAAAACTTTCGATCCGCAAGGCTTTTTGTCTTTCAACTTTGATTGCGAATAAATAAGTTTTATTGTTCTTCTTCAATTAACACATTCGTTATCATCTTGGTTACTAGTGATTAAGACTAACCATTTTTTTTAGCAAGTAATTAAGAAATAAAAATATTAAGATAATTCTAAAAATTATTAAAATTTTACATTGATAATGTTAAATAGAAAACTCATCCATTGTATTACAAAATTAATTTTTAATCACTTTATCAATCTAATTTATTGTGTAAATTGAATTAAATAATTAGAAGTACATACCTATATCTCTACTATACTATATGAGTTTTATTATTTTTTAATGTTTTATAATGTCTCTGGATAAATCACATTTTGATTTTGCTAATAACTTAATTTCTTTTTAAATATTTGCAAATATTTCACAGCAATAATTATTATTTAAATAATGTAATGTCCAAATATTAATTTCTTCTAAAACTTTTCTTCTTCCATTTAAATTAATTTTAATAAACATAACGAATTTAATTATACAATTTTTAATATTATTTATACGAACAGAATCTCCCTCTGATTCGTTTCATTATTTACTGTGTCCTATAGTGGTAAATTGAAAACGGATGCGGGTAAAGGATTAGGTGGCAATCAATAATTTCAAACCATTTCACACATTACGCTTCTCCTATGAATGACAATTTGTATATACATACTATACATGTATACATACATATATTGAACATAGCCTGATCATACCAATGCCATGGAAGCGCATAATGTTTGCGGTTGGTTAACACGATCGCTATTGCAAGTTGCATTGCTGGTTGTTGCGGTTGTGATCACATAACGGCGTGTCGATGCTCGTCAATCAGTGTTATCGAACGTGGAAAATTGTCCAACAAAAGGACCAGATTTTTATTTGCATCGGTGAAACTGAACGATGGAAACTGTTCACATATGTCAGATTTTTATTCGAATTTTTCAATGACCCATCAAAAATTTGAAATTTTATTGTTTAGAAAAATTAACGATATATTTACAATTTCTTGGAGAAATATTATTCGAATTTATAATGGTGCCTGTTTGAAAAATTTTCTGTGAATTTTATTTCATTCGAATTACAATTTCAAACGCGATTCTCCTCTTTCGAATTTCATTCCCTTTTTCGCCATTTAGATCAGAATTGTACCGATTCGACGTACAGTCCAATAATCCTGGTGTGCTTCGTTGTCGCGAAAGAAGGGATGTAAATCGTTCAAAGGGTGGGCGGGAGACGTTTCTGTCGCGTGAAGGATTAACGCGGACCAGCTTCTCGTTTCAGCTAAAAAGCAAAAGTCTGAACGAATTTGAGTAGGAAAGAAGTATCGGAGAGGACAGTCGGATGTCGCGCGTTGGGAAATCACGCGATTACGAAGGGAGTTTTCCAGTTTCGTTTGAGAACAATTGGCACAACCGTTGAACATTAATCAAACGACATGATGAATACATAACATTATATTTTTATTACTGAAATAATAAATGATATAACATTTATTTTATACCTTAACGAATTTACAATTTTCCTCGGCTTTATGAGGAATTTAACGAGTGCCCCAAAGCCATTTAGCGGGGAGTATGCGCGTGAACAAATTAGCGTGATTAATTATATTACGGTTAATCATTGACAATGATACTTTCTCCGCTGTTTCATTTGTTGCGTTTGCTTTAATTCGACGTTGTTAATATACGTACATATGTACCGTGTATAGTGTATGTAACATATAAATACAACACTCATTCACTATATACAGGCAGCCCAGCTTCATTCTCATTCTTACGCTTTCATTTACACCGCCTCTTTATCCTTTACTTTCTTCTTCATAGAGAATGTTCAGACTGTACAAAATGTTCATTACGTTGTTTATGTGTATATTCAAGTAATACTTCCATCAATTACAAAAATTGATTAATGAATAGCAATGTTTCAGTTCAATTTTGAAGAAACAATTCGATAGGTACAGTGTCGAGGACCGTAGGTTTCCCGAGGAGAACTGGCAATGGAGGGGACAAGCTCTTGTATATATAGGTCCGTGGCCCCCACCACCACTTGCGCGTGGTGGATTTACGCGGGTAAATTTGAATTGATATTTATGTTATTACTGATGCTTCTTATTTCTATACAAAATTTTATCATATATATTAACTAAAAATTATACTATTTCTTATTCTACATTATTTTTAATATTAATTTCGAAATTAAAGTTTTGAGAATTTCTGCTTCTCCTGTATCACTATTTTTCCTAAAGAAGCCTCTATGCTCGATACTGTACAGTTTCAATTAGTGACAGTCTATTACTTGCAGTTATTATAATTTAAATATTTACAGTACTGCAAAATGGTGTACTTTTTGTTTATAATACTTCATATTATTGTTTACTTTCGTTCCTTGCTTCAAGTTTAATTGCTGATGTTTTCATAAAAATAATAATAATAAAAAAAAATCAAAATTTATTTCATTACTCGTTTTGTAACAGAGAACAAGAATGCTTATTTTACAAAAAATTCTATTATTTACGTGTACAGCATGTAGTTACTTGTTAAATCAATTGTTCAAGATGACTGAAAGCGAGCCAACATCATTCAGGACAAACGTTATTTACAAAGTAAATAAATGCGTTCGAGCAAATATGGTACGGCAAACCTTTTCAGAGACATAACTGCTTTTGCGAATCGTATTTACCAAGACTCGTTTCCTTACTTTTACGAGCACCGTTTGCCCTCAAAATGTTTCGATTCGTTTTATACGCGTTGTAATTTTTCTCTTATTTTCTTTGCCAATCGTAGCTACCCGTAAATCACGATTTTATAGAAAGAATACAAACAAATTTTATTTAATTTGAACGATAATAGTAAAAATTTATCCTGTTGTAAACTCTGCGATTGAAAGGAATTAAAGTTCCTCACGTTTATTAAATTTTTATGCAATCAAACGAGGTGGCAGATTTTGCAACTTCCTCGAAATAATACATTGAATCGCTGTATGAATATTTTAATTCTTCGATGATATAAAGTACATACCTTCAACACGTGTAATTACAGCGTTCAAGGGGTACAATAATTTTCATTTCAACACTGTAATTTGCAATATTTTTAACGCACAATTTGCCACGGAATGTTGAACGTTAATTATCCATACAGTCTCAAAGAGAAAATGTTAATAAATCTTTGTTGATGTTGTAAAAGTTGTTACACAGAGTGTTTCAAGTTAAACTTTTACATAACATTATATGCACTATTGTTTATTTTTTAAATAAATATAAGTGGTTAAATTTTTAATTCATAAATCAAATATTGAATTCAAAATAATAATTGATATTTGCATAACGAGAGCTCGTTAATAAGTAGTAATAAATAATATGGAATTTTCAGGAGAATAAATATTTTAATGTTTCTTGCAACTATAACTTTTTAATTAAAAATTTATGACACTTCCGTCTTATTTTGAGCTGCAGAATATATTAACAAAATGTATAAAGAAACCAGTATAATAAAAAGTAACAAGACTAAAAGCTGTTTCGGTCCCAATTTAAAGTAACTTAAAAGTATAAAATTATTCTTTAAGTATAATCATCTGATAAAGAAGCAATTATAGAAGTTATTTGGCGTAGATTGGAAAAAAAAAGTAGAAAGTTGTTTCATCTTATAGCAGTGACCCAAACTACTTATTACAACCAGTTATTAAAACACAAAGGGTTAAATGGTAACGTCGAGTCAATTGACCGGTGTCCGTTAAAACGAGGATGTAACCTCATCTCGGGTCTAAGCTGGAATGTTTCTCAAGTAATAAATTGCCGGTCACGCGTATTTATTGCGATTAATTAAATTCTATATCCGAAGAGACTCGTCTCTTATTTATTCTTATAAGAACAAACGTGTCTGCATAACTGTATATTACTATATTAACTGTGTTTTATATCTTAGAATAATAATTTTATTTAACCGATGCAAAATATTTGTCATATTTGTATAATTTATTTGAAAAGAAAAAAAAAAAAAGAAAAATGCACTTGCATTTTGTAAGGCATGCAGTGTGATAATATCTGTGCCCCTTATTTTTTATAATTAAAAATCTATTTTTAAGAAATCTAATTATTATATCATATTTTCCCGCCACTTCTTAAATACAGAAACGTGCATGAAAATTTTTAAATTTAAATTTTTGATTAAGAAGGCGTAATGCTAAAGACACTGAAATAATTTGTACAGCCAATATTAAAAAAAGAAAAAAGAAAAAGAGAGATTTGTAATGTTATGTATTGAAAAATAAATTTTTGTATTTTGAGAAATGCTAAATCATAAAATTCCCTCTTTTCCCTTAAAACTTGCACTTGTTAAATATTGTAAATTTTCTTTTTCTATAATTCCTCCTAATTTCTTAGAAGTATAATCAGACCTAATTACCAGTATCACCCTGCATAGAATCGTTTCGAATTAAACTAACACGTACCGTTCTTGCACCGTGATTAACGTAATACGAGAAATATTGAATTAGGCTTGAAATTTGTGCGATTTACGCGGTTTTGCTTATTCCGTGCCGCTAGGTTGTCGAGCGGCGGCACGTTACTTAATAAAGAGGGCAGTAGCAACGACGCGTAATTAGAGGATGACAAATTGTACATTAAGCGTGCATTCTGTGCGTTTCTTGGTCCGTTTCGTTCTCTATCTTATACTTTACATTTCAACAGGGTGCAGCTGTCGGGCGTGGAAGCTTACAGTAGACGGCAATGTGTATCGCTTTAATTAAATTCGCCATCGGAGCCATTCAACGTTCAACGAGCCAATTTAAGCGGGTACAATAAGTTCATTCAACGACCCGTCGTTTCTTTAATTGCACGTGTACTATTCGCCCCAAAGACGAACTTTTATCAAATACTTTTTCTAATAAACTTTTCTTGCTACAACAAGATATTTTAACAAAAATCGATCCACCATTTTAAATGTTGATGAAATGGTTGGTTCGGTCATAGAATTTTCAACAGCTATGACTTATTAAAATATCTCAGTGTCATTGTTGTATCGACAAAAAAATTAATTCAATTTAATAGCAGACGATAGAGAAATTAAAAATGTAATTTATGCAAATTTATCAATTTCTGACCGTCCCCTTTAACAAGGACTAAATTTGAAAATCAGTAATACTTTTAATTTTAATAATTGCTAATTTAAATTGTCCAGCTTTGGATTAGAAGGGGATCTAAGGGGGGCTCTAGTCACGGGCCTTATTTTGCAGGGCGGTCCTGTTATAACCCTTCTATTTATAATTTTAGAGGTTTATCAATTAAGAGGACCCTTGAGAACCCAAAATTTTAATCCTGTCCTGAAACTGACAAATACATTAGCCTATGGAATATCATGTATTCTGATTCCTAATTTAATAATAATAAAAAAAGTAAAGTAGATTATTTCATATAATTTACAAAAAACAAAATTTTTTGCAGATTAACTTTCTTAACTTAAAACAACAAACATAATTTTCTTCCTTTATTTCGAAAATATCAACACACTTTTGTTTTAAATATATCACTTTTATTGATCGACATTTTATTGAGTGTAGCACCACAAAACATGTATAACAAAGAGCACTATAAATAATTAGAGTTCGTAGAGTCTCAACGATGCTTTTTCTGAGAATGAAGCGAAGCAACACGAATCGAAGGAATCGAATGTAAGGCCACTTCCTTTTCACCGTATACCGTATTCAACGATAACTCCATAAACTATACGGGAGGGTGTGTGCCATTAAAAGGGACCGTAAATTAAATATCAAACAGGTCCACGGTGGTGTGTGTTCTATCTTAGAACAGCGCGTAAAGAAATTCGAATGACATTCCGAATGGTGGGTAACCGACATCACAATGCTCTCGCAGCCGAAATTTTTCGAACCGTGAATTGGAAGAATTACACTACTAAATTTCGGGCAATTGTGCTCGAGTCACGCTAAATTAGTCTTCCTCGTCGCGGTATCCATTTATTATAATTCACGCTCGGACCTTAAAAGCGTTCGTATCGATCTCACGAACTCAAGAGGCGCTGTCTTTCGTTCGTAGACTGATTGCCTTGCAAGATTTCGGCGATTTCGCTTAGGGGATACATTCTCAATTGCTGCCTGAATACCTTCTTAATTAAACTTCCTCGCAGGATTTTACACGGGCGTCAAACTTTTATATTAGGCTGTTCCATAATAAACGTCGGTTCTGGAAGCTATTCTTTGTAAACTAATTAATCTTATAAGGGTGTCGTAAGGAAACGTTATTCATTTTAGAATATTTTTCAAATTGTATGTTTCAGGCACAGGGCTATTGGAAACGTTGATTTTGGTGCAGATTTATTGACATTTAATAAATAAACAAATATGACTGGTTTTTGGGTATGAGTGACTTATATTATGGGTAGGGGGTGGCTAGTCCACATTTTGGGAGGTGAAATTGTCTTGACTCTTTTTTAGTTTTGATAATTTTCCTCGGCCTACTATTGGACTAATTAACCCTTGGTCGACGGACCATGGAGAGAGCCCCAATTTTAACGTGATTATTTATTTTAAAATAATTCCTCGATTTAAAAAATGATGGTTTTTTGAAAATCTGGAAATATGATTGACAAAATTTATTTGTAAATAAAGTTATCGTCATTCCTAATACAAGATGAAAAATCGACATTGATTATGGAACAGCTTAATAGAATTTTTAGAACAACGGAGGCTCGTCGAATAAGAAGTAGCTTAAATGTCAGTCCGATTTATTGCTTGTTCCTGCTTTAAATTCGATTACAAATGTCCGGAACAAGACGGATTTGGCAGTCAGTTGGTTACATTAATGATTATTCTCATCACGAGCTTCTCTCTTTCCGGCCGTCTTCTCCCTTGAAATGAACAACGGAAAAAGAGAAGTCGCTCAATAAGCCATGTTATTAATCTTAAAAAGAATATACAGGGTATGTTAAAATGAATAATGCAATTAGATAGATGGTAATTCCAAACGAAAAACCAAATTGAAAATGTAAAATAAAAATTCGTTTACTGGAAACTTCCTTTTTTTTTTAAATTATATTTCTTAGAATTATTATTAAGAGTCTCGCTTAATCCTAAAACTCGAATATTCGACGTATTCAGTCGAATATTAGAATAACAACGGAATTTGAATTTTACTTTTGAATAATTGAATTATTCGAATAATTCGGATAACTTGAATACTTGAAGTATCTAACTTCCAAATGAAATACTGAAATATTAAAATATCTGTATAATTTGGGGAAGGCATATCGTTATTAATTATTAGATACTAATTACGATCAATGTCTGAATCCTCGGATGGCGGACCATGGAGAGAGGCCAAATTTTAATTTAATTTTTTATTTTATCCACTTTGGGACTTTGAAACAAAGACCACACATTGAAATTTGAAATTTAATTTTCTCAAAAACGAAGCTTTCAATTGCAAAATTTTATTCCACATTTTCGATTTGTTCTTTTATTTATAATCATTTAGTATCGATACATACCCTGTATACAAAGCGATCGATCGGCAAATCACTTTATTGAAATCGGTGCGCCAAAGTTTCGTTGAACGCGGCAAATAAATTAATCTTATCTGCACTGGTCGATGGACTAGTTTCTCCCGCGTATCGTTTATTGTTCGATACAATTAACCTTAGGAATAAACCATGCGCTCGACGATAGAAAGAAAAAACACCTTTCGGTTCAAAAGTCGTTACAAAGTTCTCGTCGAGATTTAGTAAGCGTTCGAACAGTCTGGACCCAATCCAAGACGACGATTAGCGAATGTGTCCGAGTTTCGGTGGAAATTAGATTTCTACCAGAGAACTCGAACCGAGCGCGATTCAAGAAGCATTAATCGAGTTAGCAGTTACGATCGTCTAGGATTAAGGCGAGTTTCAGTAAGAAGGAGAAATTACAAAAGGAGGAAAAGAAGGTCGGACGCGCATACATCTTTTCTTAACACGAATTGGAAATGTACAGACGAGGGCAACGGAAGCTTGCATTGGTTAAATGTATCTACAATATACATAAAACATCATTTATAATTTTATGGTATAAGACATTTTTATAACTTGTTAAAAAATTAAAAATTTAATTGCATCTATCAAAGTGCAGTATAACTAAAAGTAATTATAGGAAAGAAATAATGTATTTTTCCACCTGTCTACGTGCAAGGTAGGGGTCTCTACCCCCAGATTCTCTTTAGTACCTCTTTTAATCAAAGAAAGCTTTCGTTGCACCAAAATGTACAGTTGTGTATTAACACAGAGTGTACATAAAAGCTGAAAATGTATGAAATCAAGCTACCAATCCTTTGTAATAGTATTTATCTAATTGTAAGACACTAATGCCCTGTAATTAAAATTGTTTTGCATTGATTATAATTAATTATAATCATTTTTGATAAAAAGAAATAATTATTTATTTTATATTTGAAATCAGTCATTTCATAACTGAAAGTGTTGAGTCTGAATAATAAATATAATGTGGTAATTAATAGTAGATATACGATCATGAAGGGTTAAAGTTCGCTGAAGGGCTTAAGTAGGTAAGTATACAAAATGTTCGTACTAACCTGTGTCAGCAAATGGTCGATTACAATTATAATAATTATAATAATTATACAGTTATAATATAATTATAACTATAAAGTTATAAGCGTTCAAAGATTATCACTTATGGATCTTTGAAACATATTCTGACTCACGTTATTTTTTTACAGTAGCCTAAATTTGTAAAATAATTTTTTCATAAAAAGGTTTGTACAAACATTTTTCAGCCACCTAATCCCGTCAAAATATTCTACAAATTTGCGTTCAACTTTTATGGACACCCTGCAAATGATTTTCTCCTCACTTTTGTTGGATATTCAACAAGGCACTAAACGTCGAAAATCCGAATGAATTAAATGTATTATACAAAATCAGTTGGCCTGTCGAGGCGACACTTTCCTTAGGTCACTCAACATTTTCTTACGTCTAAAACGCTTTTCTTGGTTGGTAAGCAAACCGCCAAAATCGAGGTCCGCTTCGAAGTTTAGACGTCTCGCTTAGGCTTAGGACATTTTCATGGGTACCATTCTTTTTTTTGGCACTTGAAACGTTTCAACGTATGTTAGGTATAACGCAATTTAAAATCTGTTGCCAGTCAATCAATTTGCCAATTAACCGATTAGATACTACCTTTTAGACTATGTAATGTTAGATGGTTAATTTAAACAAACTTTATATACCGATTAATTATTTATGTTTATATTACCAACAAAATTAATTCAAGCCATGCTAAGATTGGCAAAATGATGTTAAAATGGTAATATGAATTATGGCACTTTATACTCGATCACTGATTAATGCGTTAAAATTATAATTTAATATTGTCAAATAATTAAGAGAAAAAAGAAGATATTACTATAGTAAATAGTGGCGATTTGAAAATTTAAATGAAAAGTTCGTTAATAATTGTTATTGCGTATGGCTACTTTCATTATGGTCAGTCAACCTGTTAAATTTTCTTAAATTACCTACCAGAAATTGCTTATTTCTTTTATAGAATTATATGTACAAAATAAAATTACCGAAATCTCGTTAAATTTAAACATTTCATTTATTCAATTATGATGTTTACACATGCATCAACTTAATGCAATTATTAAAATACAAAATTGTATAACTCGTCATTATAGTATTGTTCATTGCATTTCCGATAGTGTTTTCTGGTACCAAATTTCCTATAAATAAATTGATCGATAGCATTGTATCTCGTTAATAAATTAAATTATAAATATATTTTTATTCAATTATGAAAATAGCCAATGAAACGCGTTAGTTTTTGCACGAAACAGAAGAACAACAGCGTTGTATTAAGAATAACACATCGGTCTCGTTCCCGCCACTTCTAATATAAAACATTGCCCCGAAGCGATTGCCCAGATGCTCATACCAAACCTATGGGCATCGAATTGCCCACGTCTGCTCTGGAAGCTTGCCTCCAGTATAAAAGTCTCTAAAATCGAGCCTCGCTCAATCGGCGTTTTGGCAGTTAGCTTTTGCGGTATGGCATGCGTGACGAAGGAGGACGCTTTGCGTCGCCAGTATAGTCAGATCGGAGATATAGCGCGGTCGTCAGATTTAACCCTTCCGCTATTATCGTGAGCTGCCAAAAACGCTATACGTAGTTCTTATTTAAATACTTTCAACAACTGAACGTGCCAATTACTAAATTGATGCGTTCATGAGCCCACGATACCTAAAGGGTTAAAATTAAGTGCCGTATAGCACTTAGAAAACGATCCAAGACGCGCACCACCGCAGCTCGAATCGATGCTATAATTCACGACCGCCCTATACCTTCGCGTCAAACTATACATCGTAACGCGTCGACGAAGAATAGCGTTGAACGCGAGGCACAGTAGTCGGAGTCCCTTTGAATTATTAAAAAGCCACCGAAACGGAAACCGGAGGGAAACTTCTCTCCATCGGAAAAATAAAAAACACTTTGACTTCGATGCCGATTCTCTCATCCTCTCGGTAATGTTCACAGCGAAACGAGTGTGCGTATCAACGATGCACGATTATTGCTCGAGGTTCGGATGGTCGTTTCTCCCTCCCCAATCATCCAACGATCGAACGAGTGTATCCAAACTCTTTCTTTCTGTACGCGATTTAATAAATACGGACCGCGCGGTTCGGTCAAACGCGCGGGTTACAATTCGCGTCTGGCCAATAATCCCTTTGTATCTCTATTTCGTTAATATGGCAACGTATCATCAGTCACTGCTAATAACATAGACAAACGGTGTGAAGTTAATTTTATCTCCAGCAGGTAATACCATTCGATCATCCAACGAGACGGTACACAACATTCCAGCTCTCTACGAGGATCATCCTCTGAAAATTTTGTCTAATTACTTTCAATTTCGTAGAACGCATGTCCCCCTCTTGTTCCTCGAATTCCACCAGTATTCTTCGATAAACAGGACTTTCTTCCTTTTCAGGAATCTATATCGTTCTTCGACGATTCTTACCCTACCGTTCTTTCTTCGTGGAGCAGGGGTTCAGACGATTTTTCTAGAGTTTTTTTATACATAAATTTCTCTCCATCCTCGTTCACGAGCAACAAAATGTACAACAAGAGCCCGGTCTCTCCCCCGTTGTTCCTCGAAGCTTCCACTCGTCGACGATAAACGCGTCGTTAGGCCGTTAGAAGCTAGGCACGACTGGCCGCTAAGAAACGATCCAACGATCTTTTATCCTCGCACGTACTGATTTTCATTTTTTTTTTCTTTCTTTCTTTCTTTTTTTTTTTTTTTCTTTATAGCCTAGGAATCAATTGTCCGTTCGCGTAAAACGATTCTATTACGAAAAACAGTCTTTCCGTTCGATCGATCGGCACAACGGCGTTCACGATTCTCAGCGACGAGCGACGAAAACAGATCTCCAGCTGTTTCTATGGGAAGTCGCGGCGACACGGTAAAATACCTATCAAGCAGATTTCGTACGATCCGGATGAGGATCGGTTCCCTCGTGTCGAGCAGGATCATCCTGTTCGCCGACGCGGGCTCCAAACTCGTTTGTCTACGTCTAGGTCGCGGCTCGTCGAAACGTCGTTTCCCTTCTTTCACGCTCGATTTTCATGAAGCTTAAGCGATCACGGGTACCGCGAACGCGATCGCAAACACGATCGACGACGCGAGAACGTTCGATGAACCGGCTGCGATTGGCTTGTCGCGATTCGTGTTCAGCATCGGATCTGAAACAAAACGCGTCGTTCGGTTTCAATTCTGTCGAGGTCATTTCTGCTTCGATAAGAGAGATGATAATGCATTGTTTCCTTGAATAGACTTGATTGCAAATGTTAGGAACGAGGGTGTCCAACAGAAATTGAGGATAGTTGCTGTGGGCTCTCGTTATATTGCCGCGGAACGGGAGTAAAGGCGGGAAATTTGTAAAGCTTCTGAACTTTCAGATGGAGGGGAAAAAGAGATGGAAGTGTATTATTTTAGTAGAGTGGCACTGGTATGTTTGAAAATTTGTGTGTAGGCCAAATCGTTTATGTGGAAATATAATAAGAATCTACTGTGAAAAGGGTTACGTATACGGTTATCGATTCCTATGGAATGATTGATCCTTTTCTTAAAAAGTAGGAAATAAAATATAATGCATTTCTTGCACGATAAACTACAATTCTATCCGGTACAAAAAGTATTTGGGCTACGAAAAATCATTATATTTTATTATTTAACACTTGGACAGCGCAGCCTGGGTCAATTTTGATCCAAACGTATAAAACATATATAAGAACATTAATTTAAAGACAAATGTATCATTTTTAAACGAAAGGGTTTGATATATTGGATCAGTGTAAAATTTAGAAAATCAAATTGGGGTTCTCTCCATGGTCCGTCATCCGAGGATTAAGAAACGCGTTATATTGTATTCCTTACTTTTTTAGGCAAAGGGTCATTGTATACGTTACTTTACACAGAGGATAGACAAAATAATGGAAATAGAAAATTTTCACAATTTTAGCAGGAAAAATTCAATGATAGAAAGAAAGACTTCCAAAGCATACCTGGTGTAACTCCTGGTGGGCCCATTCCTGATCCAGAGGCCTCTTCGTCGTCGCGATCGTAACCATGCACGTCCTCGTCATCGTTATCGATGCCGTCTCCTTTGTTATTCTTCCTCCAAATTGGCCTGTCACCACTTCCTGAACCATCCAAGGCTTCGTCGGCGAGCAGGATTCCACTGTCAGGCGCTGCCGCCAATTGAGACTGCAAAATCTGGAAAAAAAAAGTGAAAAAAGACTTTATAATTCTTGTTCCAATAGCTTTGGGCGATTCGATTGTTTATATAACATAATTTTTTGTTGAATGTAAAATATACAATTTCTAAGAAGAAGAGCAATTAATTCATTGTTCATTGTTATTGACTCATCATACAGCAATTATTCATCCTCATTAAAAGGAGCATTGGGTTTCTTTAGAATGGTTATATAAAATAAAAAATTTTTTACTAAATTTCTGTTTACCTTCCACTCGTTTAAACCTTTCGATCGACAATTATTCGAATCCTTTTTGTCGAATAAAGTAAATTTCGATACGATAACAATTTGAATCCGCGTATATTCGGAATCCAACGATTATCGTAACGTTAACCGCGCTATTGAAAGTGTCAGGGTAATTAAATCGTTTAATTGCGCTCTCCGCAATGTGCAATCTCAACGTACCAGTTCATTTGCGTCAGATAGCTGTCCAATATAAACAAAGTAAAAAAGAGACACGAGTTATATGTGCAATTATTCACAAAAAGTACATATCACTGTGCATATCACTATGTTTGCCAAATACATACGCGTTATTAATCTAAAAATAAATATTTCATGTGGAAGTTGTTAAATAGGACACTTAATTTTTTTTTAATTAATTATAGATACATGAATATGAATGTAATTTTTTTTTTAAATCCAATTATACATTTTTATTTGTGCCAATATGTCATGAACTTTAAGACAGATTTAATTATATATTTGGAGAATAATTCATTAGTTATTTGTATGAATATTGATGAGAAATGTCAAATTTGATTAGTGTCTTATACATATATTAATGAAGTTTGATAATTTATTTTTGAGGAAATTCTGTCTGTACATTCTGTTTGACTTTGATGTGACTTTTTATTTTATTTAGAACAATTTTTTGAGAGTTTTTAAAATACATTATATATGTACACTTGCGTGCAATGTAGACTTCTTTTGGTTAAAAATAAATATAGGGGTAGGAGTTTCTCACCATTTACCTTTGATTTTGATAGAACCTAGGAAGAACCTATGGAGAACCCATGTAAAGCCTTGGTGGGAGAACTTAGGAGCTAAGAAGACCTTTGAACCTAGGAAGAGTCTAGGTCCTAGGGAGAGCCTAAGATAGGCTTAACTTGGACTTTAGGGATTCTCTATGGGTTCTACTTAGGTTCTCTCAAAACGAAAGGCAAATGGTGGAAGGCTCCCCCATACAAGTTAATCGTGTTTTGCAATTACAATACAAACATATAATAAAAAATAAAACAATGTAATTCTACATTTCCTGACGTTTGGTTTGAAATACCTTAAATACCTAAGCCTAGCATAAATTAGTTACAATATTGTTCATGTGTTAATATATTATATACATATATTGCATTATTGCTTACGAATAACATGTATTTTCATACTTTTCTTTTCACATTTTCTACATTCCACGTAAGTATAATATATGCTCAATTCCACGAATAACTCTGGATCATAAAAAGAAACGAACATTTATTTTAAAAAGCAAAATGAAAAAAAAAAATGGAGACAGAATAACGATGTTTGAGTATGCAACGTTATCTCATTCATAAATCATTCATGAGTTCGCACATTGTCACGCGTATCGTTTCTTCTTTTGATTCTGTACGACTTTAAATTGGATTACACAGGTGCGATATGTCTGCAGTTGACAGGTGTGCAGGTGTTGCACACGCAACAACCAGAAGTGGCCAGGCTGATTTCTTGACACGCGAATTAACGCGCTGGTACGTGTTAGAAGGTATCCGAACAAATGATATTAAACTTATATCTAATAATTGTAATCAATAATTTAACGATTATAGATTCTTGTAAATCAAGTGATCGATTTTGAAATACTGAAATTCTGACATAATTTGATGATATAAAGGTACTGAAAAATAACGCTTATTCTGTATCAATTTAAAGCTTGAAGTTTCATGAAAAAAAAAACTAAATAAATCATTTAATTTTATTTTTTTTTATTTTATCAATTTATTTATTTAACGGGCTGGTATCCTTTAATAATATTTTTAATATAAAATGGCTGGTTGAGATCAGATCCAGGATTTATGTAATAGGTATTTAATCATCGAAATGTCAAGTAGCGAGTACCAATAGTTTCTCCATTTGTTGAAACGGTATCTGTTTCAGACTTCAGTGATATATTACGTTTACCAAATCGGATCGAGACAAGTTTCCGCTTCGCGAAATCGGTAATTAATGAAATCCTTATTACGTGCATACGTATTACGCACGGCTACGCGGATTAATTTAACTTCGAAACTAATTGCTACCCATTCGCACTTGAAAATCTCCTGGAATATCTGTTTCTATTAGCATACGATAAATGTCTTATTAACCCTTTGCTGTCGCCAGGCTTCAGACAATGAACTGTCAGTTCCGACTTACCGTGTTATGCAGCAAGTTGGGGTTGACAGTAAGAATTTGCATTTGGAATAGAAATTCCTAATAACTGTTACAACTTATTATTATACATTATTTATGTATTTAAATTATTAAATTATGTACGTTTACCTTGCACTGATAATGAATTGTATATTTATTTATAACGTTCTTCAAATTTTACTAATTAGTAGTGACCATATCTTTATTTATAATTATAAGAAGGCTGAATCTTGAAGTCATTTTAATTTAAATAATTATGTAAAATAATTTCATTAAAATTCATTACAATACAGATAAGAATTTTTTTAACTTATTTGAATTTTGTATTTAAACTCATTATAAGCCCTTGTCAGAATAACATTATCTATTAATTAATCCATTTGTTAAATCTACCAAATAGAATTCAAGATACATGAAGAAAATTGTTTAAATAAATTTCAGGAATTGTTCATCTCAGTAGGTTTGAAATGCAAGTTAAAAACAGGATGTGAACGAGAGACACAATTCAATCAGAAACAAGGCTAGCCAAGGCTGAGTTGAGGAACAAATTACAATTGGACGTGGACTCACCTGATTAATGTGCCTCAATTGGTCAATGAGCACGCTAGTGTTCGCATTGCCGTAGGAAGTTGTCGTCGGTGACATTGTCGTTATCGTAAACTCAGGGTTGTACCGTTGCGCCATTAAACTAGAGTCCACCACCGTCTTTGTATACCTGAAATAAGAATTAAATACGTGAGGATGTTAATTAAGAATAGATAGTTTAATATAAATATACTATTACATTAAGTAATCAAATAATTAGAACCACATTAAATGAGAAATATATTTTTTGTTTCTGTGTTGAAATAGAAATTACAATATGAAGACTTTTACATTGGACAATTTCTAATTAACAATTATCTACTAAAAATATACAAAAGAATACAAATACTTATTATCCACTGTTGCAACTAGCAATCAGTCATTTTACGATATAATCACCAATGATTCGTTTATATAATTATCATCATTAAATTTTAAGTTTCAAATTGATATACCATAAATGCCATTTTACGATGCTTTTGTGTCATCAAATTATGTCACACTTTCCTTGCTACATAATTGGCCATTCTTTATCGCACAATTTAATAAAATACGCGTGCACATTCAGAGAACAAGACCAACCGAAGGATTTATCGGTCGAAAGGGAGGAGACAGAGAAATGGCGCTAGATATCAGGCGGTTTGGCATTCGATATTTAACCAATTACCATTGCGTTCAACGGAAATTGGATTTGCGTTTCCGTAGAACGTTGCTCGCCGCCACCGTAGTTCATTCGCTTGAAATGCAAAATCCTGAGATATTATCGGCATTCATTTCAAACGGTTCTGATCGAACGAGTGCGAACGGTACTTGATATTTATCTAATTATATCGCGATGAATTTAACCCTTTCGTTACTAAGGGCGACTGTAGTCGCTTGCCACGAAACGACCACTACTTCCTCGAATAAAAGAAAGAAAATAATAGAAAAATATTATTAATAACATAAGGTGGTAAATTGAAAGTTTCAAATTTGAAATTTTCTATTTTTGCTCCAATATTTCTTACAACAAATATCCAGTTTCATTGTAACATTCAAAATTATCTTCCGGTGTATGAGAACGATAGAAAATTGTGTTACGTTCAACGCGATAGCTCTCAGAGGATACGGGAAAGAAAGCTCCGGTATTTTTCGCAATAAGGCAGCTTATGTGTACCTTATATGTTACGAAGTAACAGCTTTCGAAGTTTCCTTAAGGCGATCGTTCCTCGAACGTGTGCTTATATACTTACGCATGCAAATAGGGGTTTTAATAACGCAGCAAGAGCACGAATAACAAGACGGTAATAATTGCGCCGACTTAAGACAAGCGTTTAACGTGTCAAGGAAATATTATTTGAAATCTAAGAAACTTGTTATGGGAAATCGATGCTAAAACGCGTGCGCCATTCGGTTGTATATTAAAAGTTGTGTCTAAAAAAATGGTTCATCGAAACTGTTTCTAGAGACATTTAAATAAATGTTTAAAGTATTTTTTATTTTCTAAAGAAATATTTGTTTTCAATAAATAAAAACAATTAGGAAATAAAGGATTAAATTCATTGACAACTGAATGAGTAATGCATCGACTGTGGCAAGTTTTATTATTAATTTCATATAATTGAAAATTACAGTTTGCTCATCTGTAATATTGTTTCTTTATTGATTTTGGTATTGGCGATTTCACATAAAAGCGTGTCGTATTTATTCATTTCATAGCTTTGTGTATCAAAATTTACAACGTTCATTGTACTACACATATTTATTTGAAATTTAATAAACTTCTCACAATAACTACACAATAAAATGATTTTATGCTTTTAAATATATATTTCAATTTTTTAATTATTTATTAATGTTGATTTATATTTCCATAAAGCTGCATGCAATATAAACTGCTATTTTATGGTAGCCTTTGAAATTAAAAAAATATTTGTTTTCATCGAAAAGTTGCCACATATTCGATAGAAAATTCAATTTAAAAACATATTCGAAGGAAAATAAATGAAAATGTGTATGCAATAATTTAGCAAAAAATATGAACGTGTTGTAATTAAAATTTTCGACTTTGTGTTAAAATTCGAATTTTTTAATTGCACAAGTTCTTTGATAAAGAACTTGTATTTGATCGTTAAAATAGTTTCCCCTTTGCAATTAACGTCAAAGCTTTGACAAGAAAAGTTGTTTGAAGCTTTTGCAAAACATATTATATGCAAATATACGATTTTCCCATGTAAATTAGTACTTCACCTTCGTAGTTTCTAAATAAATTAGTAGAAAGCTCTATAAGAAAATAGTAAATAGCGTCTTAAATATTCTCAATCTCAACGAAGTGCATGTAACGTTTAAATTTTGAAAGAGAAAGAAGTCCGCTGTTCATTTATTCAGCAATTTATCACCATTACTTTATTCTCATTTAGTGCTGTAAAGCTTTTAAACAGAAATCTGCAGTTCCATTAATTTCTCCCTTTAGTCATGGCTATCTACGAGGAAAGTAATAAAATATTGTGATTTCTCTTTTAAATAAATTTTTTTAAATTATTCGTCAAACAACAAAACTTATGGTAATTTAAAATTTAACTTTTCTTAAAACTATAAGTAGACTTTTTGATGTGTTTAGTTTAATCCTTTTAATGTGGCATTGTATATTTTATAGAAGTGACTAACAATAAATTTTATTTTTTGAAAAATTGTTAAAGGAACAGTGGAAAATTTAGAAAATGAAAATGATATAAAACACATTGGGACTTTCTTTCTCCCTGGTCCGCCGTTTAAGGGTTAAAGAAATAACGGGATCAGTCGCAAGTTAATCCGAGCACCCTGTATTTACATGTACTTAGTGACTTTCTCAGTATGCGATGGTGTGATTGGTCGCGTGCTTGGTGTTCGCGAGGAAAGAAGAGCACAGGGGAAGAATTATCTGCGAACGAGATAGGGAGGAGAGGCAGCCATTCTATTTGCGTTAGCTATTCTCGGATCATCACTTTTGAAAGCGCACGCTCCCATAGAATACATCGCGTGCCATTCATTAGTCCGCCACCGTACGGATGGTGTTTCTTCGTTCATCGCCGATTAATCACGACGATTCGACTACTTCTTACGATCCTCTTCTTCTTCTTTCGCATTCCTGTCTACTTTGTATCCTTTAGTCCCCCTGATGATCGTTACTCTCTTTCGTTCTTTCCCATGATTTTTCTTTTCCCCGCATTTCTCCTTTTCTTCCCCTACTCATCCGCGAAATGAAAAAACCTTCTGGCGACGCGTTGATCGATCGTTCGCGGGTCCAACTCGTTTCTACCCGTGCAAATTAATATTAAATTGAAGAATGATCGATCGAACGCTCTTTCGTACCCGCCACTGATAAATGTGCGATGGAATTTCATTGGAATTTCATTCGTCTCATTAGCGTCCCTGTTTATGCCTACTATTTGTTCGTGATTGATTCAACGTTATGTAAATGATAGATTACGCTGAATTAGATGAGTTCGTTATTGATATTGAAGAGAAGGAGCAAGATATTTAGAGTTACTAGAAAAAGATTATTAAAAAGTATTATATTCATTGAGGATAATATTAGATGGTACCAGTATTTGTTAATTTTTTGAATTGAATAGAAAAAAATAAAAAAATATTTAATTGAGAAAATGTAAGGTTTATAATTGTAAAAAATTTAGATTTTTGTATTTCATTTTAATTAATGGATAATATATATTTTTAATGCAATTATAACTGATTCAATCGGCAATAAGCGAATAATTTTTTTCAATTTAACGCTTAGTTTCTCACTGGAAGCAGATAATTCTGAAAAATGCATAAAGAATCAACAGGGAAACATTTTATACAAGCGTCTCGTTGCAGCTGCACTTCTTGATGCTGCTCAATGCCAACCATTCACAGAGGCAACCTTCTATCCTATATGTATTTCTTTTCCCTTTTGCTCGCATCCGTCTTACTTTGCTCGCCTCTTCCTGCTCATACTTCATTTCGCATTTTACTCTTCACTTTGTAAGGCATTTTTCCGTGTACTTCACCTTCGCCATTTCCTCTTCAACGTTGTTCCTCCTATAAGATCCCGCTTCTTAATTTACTTTCTTACACTCCTTTTGCTTCTGCTTTTCCACTATAATATATACATTATGAACCTGACCTTCGTGTTCCCTTTGTCTCATTTATTCGTTTGAAAGTGTATAAATCATTTTATTGCTAGCTTTCATTTGACTAATAAGTTCAGTTGCATTATATTTTCTTTAATATTCTTTTCTTGCCTTTAAGGGATCATTCTCATAATTAGACTACTAAAAATTAATTTCTATTTTCTTTCCTCTCTTTGGACAAGAAATTCTAAATATAAATTATGCTTTTTTAAATAAAAAATTTAATTATGTAAATGGATATTTGGAAAATTCATTTCTTCAAGAAATATAATGACAATAATTATTAATACACAAAAGGCTGGGAAAATATTTAAGTTTAAAATTACTAAAGGAAACTATAAACTTTTATATTTCAGACAATTGAATTACTGTATGAATTAATATTATTCTTTCAAACCTAACTTTGAAGGACTTTTACCAAAAAGACAAGAAATCCTTCTTACAAAAAATATGTTAAATTCACAGAAAATTAAAAAAAAAAAAGAAATAAATGAAACTTTCTGCTAAACCAACTCTGATCTCGAATCTATACTTGAACAGAATTTCAAACCGAAATACAGTTTCAAAACGTTTCCTTTCATCTCATAATTCATTCATACGGTCCGCGCTATCATTCTGCTCGCTAATTAAGTCAATTTTCTCGTATGTCGAGGATTCTCGGGAATCCTGTCCCGTTAAACACGACCCGTACACGTCTCTCGGCTTGTCATTTCCGCTCTGTGAACGTTCCGGGTTCAGCGAGCATTCGCTTACCCTTTGACCCCGTGCTATTCTATATTTTCTTTTCCCCCTTCGTGTCAATCGCAGGCCATCCCTCCAATTTTTTTCTTCAGTTCTTCGATTGAATTCCCTTGTACGTTCGATCTCTCGATCGTTAACAAGCATAATTCGTCGACGATGCGAAATCACTTGCATCCTGCTACGAGGACGAAGTGAATTAACCCGATAAAAAACTGGTTCGCCGCGATGGAAGCGAACCTTGGCTTTCTTTTCATTC